TTGATTAAACTGCGGAAGATCCGACAGTAGCTTGGAATCTCTTAAGCTGACCAAGCCCTCTCAGTCTAACTATCCGGCAGACGACTAGTCTTCACCGGGATAGAAAGCTGAAGCAATAAGCACAGAACTCCACTACTGGAATTGGATTCCAGTACAAAGCAGTAAACTGGCTAACTCTCGTATAGCCAATCTCCTACTACCGAATGATGAGACTCTAGCAACCTAATCAGATTCTATCCATCTCAGATTGCAGCAGGAATCAGGAAAAGTTGATCAGACTTCAATTGACTCAATAAACATGCATCATTCGATTATAATCAAACAATATAGCATCCAAAACTTCATACAAGAAAGATCCTAACTCATGGAACTAAGGTTCCTCAAAACCTAAGTGAAGGGAAGTTACTCCATAGAGAAGAGAGAGACTGCAGAAATCTGATCTAGATCTTCAATCTCCATCTCCAAGCTTGATTCCCGAGCTCCAATGGCGAAGAAATCCTCCAAAATAGCTCCAAGAATGTTCCCAAGTCGCTCTCTCTCTCTAGGGTTCGTCCCTTGGGTGTTTGGGATCCAAAACCCAGCTCTCTCTCCTCTTTGGTTCAGAATTTGGCTTAAAACCAGGAAATCCCGACTCGCACGGCCAGGGTGCACGGCCGTGCATATCACCATTCTGGCCGTGCAACTCAAAACGCAGCGTGTCATTTAGTCGAACTTCAGCCCTCTCGCACGGCCAGGGTGCACGGCCGTGCGAGCTTCAGGGGTTGCCCGTGCGTGTCCTCGGCATAAGGCGCACGGCCATATTGCTCACGTGCACGGCCGTGCAGCCTCCCTGGTCTGCCCGTGCAGCTCCCCAAAAACCTCGCCATTCGTCCGTTCTTCGTCCAATCGACCCCAGACTCGCTCCTAAGCCTTCATTCACGTACTAGGACCTGAAACATCACAAACAAGCACAACCTAGCGTGAAATCGGCCTAAAACACGAGAATCAACACCTCAAACGGTGTAAGAATGGGGGTAAAAACATGTGTAAATGACGGTCTATCAAACTCCCCCACACTTAACCCTTTGCTTGTCCCCAAGCAAAGCTAACTCAAACCAATGCAACTCTCCAGACCTCTATAGCAACAAACAACCCAGATTGTAGGTAGAGGACTTCCTAGATCATTTAGCAACTTACGAGGTCAACCGACGCACAAGTCATCTCATAACTTCTTCGGCGAGTCGGCATCACGGCAAATAGTGAACAGAGGACAAATGAATTGTGGATGAAGAGATTCTCAAAAACAAAAGATCATGGACTCACATTTTTCAAGGTGCTCTATTTCATTCTTGAAGATGGTTGGAACCCCCTTTTTTTCTATTTTGCTTGTTTTCTGTTATTTTTCTTTTCTTTTCTTTTCAAGGGTCCCAACCTGCTCTTACCGGCCATGCCAGGAGCGGGTGTCTCGAGCCTCGTGCGGGGGAAAGACATGTAAGGGGACTGGAGGTAGTAGGTGGAAATTGGGAACGAATTCCCGTCTCCCCTTACATACTTTCGCCCTATTCGCACGGGAGACGTTATTTGAAGCACATTTTCGAGCACCTGTTAAACTCAAAACATGATACAAGAGTCCATGACAGGCAGAGAATCCACAACACCACACAATTCAAGGGTCCTAAGATCACTAATTCACTCAATCAATCAACACAATATGAAGAAGAAACGAGACTTCTTAAATGCATCAACATCCTCCATAGTGCTACACTACCTCCCTAGGTTGCATATTACTATAAAGACTGTCAATTCAAAGCATACTGAGTAGGCAATTGCAAGGAAACACGTACTTGGAGCCCTCAAATTGAAAAATTTGGACAGTGGACTAGGCTCCAAGCACACAAACAGCCAAACATTCACCCGCATACATAATCGAACACCCCCCCCCCCACACTTAAGCACGACATTGTCCTCAATGGAGGAAAGATAAGGAGGGTTGAACGAAGTTACCAGATCAAGGGTGAATGATGATGTACGGGTCAGGCAGTGCAGTCCAGGAAGAGAGAGTAATCAGAACACAAACACCACACAAAATCTCACAAAGGTTGAGTTATTGACTCTAAAATCAAATAACAAAACTGACTCAACCGAGGAGAAATAGAGAAAGAAATGCAAACCGACTGGTTGGGTTGCCTCCCAACAAGCGCTTCTTTCACGTCGTGAGCCGGACGATGGCTCCTAAGTTTCGGTCCATGCTAGAACCTCCTTGAAGTTGAGGTTCTCGTCGATGAGGTGGAGTCTCAAGTCACGAGCATGTGGTGTGGCAGGTGATGAAGGCTCATGTACTTGATGCAGATGAAGTCTCCACCCTCGAGACCTCTTCTTCTCTTCTCTCGTCTCATTGCCCCAAACCAGATATGACAGCATCGATTGGCCACCATCGCGTCCACCAAGAGGGACCGATGTCGATGTGGCCTTGGTCTGGCAAAGAGACACTGCAAATGGGTCCTTGCCAAGCAGTTCCTCAAAGTTTGGTGGGGATATTACTTGCAACTCATGGCCGGTGCATGCCTCTTCCACCTCAACTTCATCCTCAGCCTGGACGCCAATTGCTTCCTCAACCCCCCTTCCTTCTTCAAAATGTGGTCTCTCCCCTGGGAAAAGATCAAGAACCACCTCTTCTTTTCTTTCTTCCTCATCATCCACAACTTTCTTCCTCATCCTTGCTCGCTCTTCTTCTTCTAGAACAGATTGGAGAGCAAGTCGCCAAGCAATTTCTTCAATGGGATCATCTTGCATCTCCTCGCACGCGCCCAACATGTTAGAGCATAAATGAGGAAAGGTGTGGTCTGCAACCAAAGGACTTTCCTGATCATGGTTATCATGGGAGTTCTCTGTGATAACTTCTGTATGCTCCTCAACGCTCCCATAGCCTTTGTCATCCTCCACCTCTTCTAGCGTGGCAGCAGAAAGGTGATCTTGAGAAAGATGTGAGCAAACTTGCTTCACCCACTCTGTTTGCTTCGCTGAGCGCTGAACAGTCTCCTCCATATCATGGAGAAATGAGGGATCGGAAGTGGCAAGGGCTTTGATTTGAAGATCCATCTTGGAGCATGATTTCTCAGTGTCTCGAGCAAACTGCTCCACGAGAAGCCTTAATTGTTCGTTCGGATCTTCCAGTGAAGTGTAGCATGGCTCTGCAGAGTGGCCCGTGAAGGCCGCCATGGGTAACTCCAGCTCCGATGGCCCTTCTGGTTGTGGGAGAAAGTCTTCTTGGTAATGAGGTTGTTCTTGATATGCCCAGGGGTCTGATTGTTCTCCGTAGTAAGGGGGTTGGTACTGGAACCCGAATCCATAGTCTTCTCCTCCTTGATTGCTGTAGGGAGTCGCGGGGTAATACCACCTGGATGGTGGTGGATACCCCCAATGATTGGAGAAGCCATTAGGATCCATGATTCAGATCTGCACCAGCAAAAACAAAAACACCCAAGTGAAAAGCAAGGGTGGAAAAGAAAAGAAAAACGCTAAAGTAACAAACTTCTGCCTTTCCTAATACTCTAGAAAGTCCCCGGCAACGGCGCCAAAAACTTGACGCTCTAAAACACAACACCTAACAATGGCCAAGTGTAACCAATGAAAGGGACTGCAGTATAGTGGCACAAGTAATAAATATCGAATCCACGGGTCTCTAGAGTTACTATTACTCAGCTTCAGTTCATTATCTAGCAAACTAGATTAAGGATTGATTAACTAAACTACTCTACTAACTAAACTAAGTAAAACTACTAATTACAGTTTGGGAACTCACTTAGGTATGATTCCCCCTAGCTCCTCAATTAGGTCCAAGTTGTAATTCATTTTGGTTGATTTACGGTTGATTAAACTGCGGAAGATCCGACAGTAGCTTGGAATCTCTTAAGCTGACCAAGCCCTCTCAGTCTAACTATCCGGCAGACGACTAGTCTTCACCGGGATAGAAAGCTGAAGCAATAAGCACAGAACTCCACTACTGGAATTGGATTCCAGTACAAAGCAGTAAACTGGCTAACTCTCGTATAGCCAATCTCCTACTACCGAATGATGAGACTCTAGCAACCTAATCAGATTCTATCCATCTCAGATTGCAGCAGGAATCAAGAAAAGTTGATCAGACTTCAATTGACTCAATAAACATGCATCATTCGATTATAATCAAACAATATAGCATCCAAAACTTCATACAAGAAAGATCCTAACTCATGGAACTAAGGTTCCTCAAAACCTAAGTGAAGGGAAGTTACTCCATAGAGAAGAGAGAGACTGCAGAAATCTGATCTAGATCTTCAATCTCCATCTCCAAGCTTGATTCCCTAGCTCCAATGGCGAAGAAATCCTCCAAAATAGCTCCAAGAATGTTCCCAAGTCGCTCTCTCTCTAGGGTTCGTCCCTTGGGTGTTTGGGATCCAAAACCCAGCTCTCTCTCCTCTTTGGTTCGGAATTTGGCTTAAAACCAGGAAATCCCGACTCGCACGGCCAGGGTGCACGGCCGTGCATATCACCATTCTGGCCGTGCAACTCAAAACGCAGTGTGTCATTTAGTCGAACTTCAGCCCTCTCGCACGGCCAGGGTACACGACCGTGCGAGCTTCAGGGGTTGCCCGTGCGTGTCCTCGGCATAAGGCGCACGGCCATATTGCTCACGTGCACGGCCGTGCAGCCTCCCTGGTCTGCCCGTGCAGCTCCCCAAAAACCTTGCCATTCGTCCGTTCTTCGTCCAATCGACCCCAGACTCGCTCCTAAGCCTTCATTCACGTACTAGGACCTGAAACATCACAAACAAGCACAACCTAGCGTGAAATCGGCCTAAAACACGAGAATCAACACCTTAAACGGTGTAAGAATGGGGGTAAAAACATGTGTAAATGACGGTCTATCAGTTTCAATCAAGCCCACCACTGCAGCTTTACACCTATGAATAATCGGCTTAATTCTAGCTCTCTTGTCAGAGTCTCCCAAACCCCTGACATTCCATGCAAGGATAGAGTCATTCATTGGGACAAAAACGAGGTGAATCCACATCTATTACTGCAACTCGGACCCCTTTTCCGTCGCGGCTCATTTAGGACCAAATTCACTGGTCCAAGGCCGTGAATCTCCATTTGCAGCTTTGATCTAGTCGCCCGCCTTTTCTTCGATTTAAACGAGAAAGCCAGTTCCTCAAACTGATCCTCAACTTGCTCGCTGCTGACCTCTGAGGAAAAATTTAAAAGCCGGCGGAGAGTCAAGCCAGCGGCAATAATCGAGTGCAGATCCAAATCCGCTCCCCAATCCTTGAGGTAAGCATCATTGATAGGCTGGAAGGGAACCAGGGCCAACGGGTTAGGGTCATCGAAATGGGTAAGATCTTCAAAGAGGTCACGGTAGGGATCGGGGGAGTCGGGGGTTAGAGGGGGGGAGAAGGAAAGGGGTGGAGAAGAGGGGGAGGAGGGTGGGGAAGGGAGGGATGGGGGGGGGGGGGTTGAAAGGGAAAGAGGAGAGGGGGTTGCACCGAGAGCAGGGGAAAAAAGAAGACGACCAGCTAAAGCGAAATTAGATAAGATGATGAGATCAGGTCCGAGGTGAAGACAAAGGCTGGGTAAGGATCGGCTAGGGGAAGGCGCAAAGTCAAGGATGAGAGAGGGAAAGGGTGTATGGGCTCTAACTGGAGGTACATGGATTGAAGAGGGAAGGGAAAGGATGGGCTCAATCAGGGGGGAGGAATGGGGTGGGAGCCAAATAGGGCCAGCTTTGCGAACCCAGATTCGATTGGGATGGGCCCGGGGCTTATTGGGCCGACTTGGGAGACTGGGGGAGGAGATAGGACTTGACGAAGCGCCGACACTAGGGTAATCAACCGGGTGACTGGAAAGGGTTCCCGAGACACGTGCATGAGAGTTGATGCCCGCATTAATGATGGTGTTGCATGGAAGACCAAGAGGCGTCGCCGCCGGCGAAACAATTTGAATTGGAAATTCCAGGCCATCAAAACGAAGAGGAATTACGTCAGGAATGGCGGTCGTCTTCTTGATCCCGATCCTTACGAAGGGAAGGAACCAAGAATCCCAGTCTAAGTCCACAAAGACCCCGCAGAAGTTTCCGATTGCAACAAAAAGATCCACGCTTTTCAGGTGGAGGGGAATATCAAGCGCTACGATCCAAGATTCATCGCCGCAGACCGGCATCTCACCATCCTTCCAAAGCAAGAAGGAGATTAAGAATTCTCTGAACTTTAGGAAATTTAGGTTTTTTATGCGCAAAGCATCAACAATGCTGGGGCAGATGAGAAGCCACCTCCCGTCTTTTTTCTTTCTCCCACTAATTTCTTAATCTATAGAACATTACTAGTACTCCGCTTTTAATTTATACTAGCTTGTAATCCGACCCATTGGTCGGAATGTTATTTAATGACAATGTATTTTTTTATGTGTATTTAAAAATTTTAGAGCTTGTGTTGGTTTTATAGAGCTCGTTTTGTAGAACTCGTTTTAGAGCACGACTTTGGTCGGACCTAGTCAAACCAGTTGTCCGGTAGAGGTGTAACAATTTTGGTTATAACACTCGTGAATAATCATTCATAACTTTTCTATTTAATGATGTAGTCACTTAGTTGCCTATAGTGGAAAAGAAAATTGACCTAACAAAAAAAAGTTCGTCTGAAAAAGGGTAGCATAAATAGGAAACTCATGATCATAACCTTTAGTCAATATTTTTTTCTTTTGCTTGAGAAGCAAAACATAAATAACAATATCTAAACCTTAAAGTATTATGTACAATACAATAAAAAATTTAGTAAAAAATTAACATTTTCGATCCATACTTGACTCACTCCTACTGTCACTCTAGAAAATGGCCAAGTGAAACCACTTCCTAAAGCTTAGTATAGCGGGTTTGGGTTTTAATGTCAACCCGGGTACTAGATGTGATGGCTACTCAGTGAAATCTTATTATTTAGCGGTGAAACTTTAGTGCAGGTTCAAACAAACAAACAAGTAAGCAACTAAACGATTGTTTTCAAGTTGAGAGAGGTCACCCGGATATGGTTCCCCCTAGACTGCAGTTAAGCCGGATTGCAATTTACAAAGTTCAGTTTCTATGATAGTTATACTGTGGGAGGTTCTTAAACAGTCTGAAGTCTCGACTAAAGGTCTCCAGACCCTCTCAATCTGAGTCCCCAGCGGGCGACTAACCTCCACCGGAGTAAACAGATTGAGGCCCTAACGAACCAAACCTCCACTACCGAAGTAAATTCAGTACAGAATATTGATTGGCTCCTCGACTAAAGTCACCAATTCACTACCTTCAATTAAGGGTGCTCTATTAACCTAGGCAAATATTCTCTTTCTAGGCTAAAGCAGAAATAACAGGAATTTGATCAGGATTCAAGTCATTCAATCATTCAAGCCTCAATTGAATATAATCAAATCATAAAATCTGTACTTGGGTTATACAATAACACCTAACCTACAAATCTAGGGTTCTCCATACCCAGATGAATGGGAAAACTACTCCATGGAGAGAGAAGCAAAAGCAGATTCAGATGCGGAAACCATACTGTGAAGGATGGGTTTCTGCTCCCGGTCGTCAATCGGCACTTCTCCAAGTGTGAGCCGAGCTCCAATGGTGATGAAGATCAAGCTAGGACACTTGCGAACTCTGGTTTGTCGCTTTTTCTCTCTAGGAATCGCTTTGTCTCTCTAAAACTCGGAACTCCTTCTCTTTTGGCTCAAAACTGCCTAAAAGGGCAACCCTGGGCAAAACACGGTCGAGGGCACGACCGTGCTTTGCTGCTGCCCGTCCGTGCCCTTGCCACGTGTTAAAAACACGACCACACCTTGGGGAAAACACGGTCGTGCCTAATGTTTGACACGGCCGTGTTTTGAGTCAGTCCCGCCCGTGTTTTGGGCCAGCGCAGGACAATCTTGGATCAAGCCTCGGCAGTAAAAACACGGTCTAGGAACTCGAGCGAATGACTTCTGAATGCCCCAAAACTCGTGCATAGCCTTTCCTTCGACGTCTGGGACCTGAAATATGACAAAGTAGCACAACCCGACGTAAAATAGGCCAAAAATACACGAATATGCCCCACAAACGGATAAGAACTAGGGGTGCAAACATGTGCAATTACATCGTTATCAAATTCCCCCACACTTAACCGTTTGCTTGTCCCCAAGCAAACCAAGTCAGACACAAGGTAAGCTCAAAATGTTTCAATCAAGCAGGCTTAGGGCATATCATATCGGCAAAAAACACGTGGATCATACTGGCTTTCGATCATTAATACATGGACAACCTCAATGACAACCTAGACAACCACCACAGATGACATTCGAATGCAGTAAAGTCTGTAACATCCCGTTCTGGAAAAAAAACCATATTTCGGTCGCTAGAAAGTTCGCGATTTAAAATCAAGCGTTTTGATAGTATTTCGGCGAAAATCGGATTATCGATCGATCGGATAAGTATACGTATTAATTTTATATATATATATATATAAAAGTGTCCATTTAATTCCCCAACCCATCGTCATCTTCTTTCATTTTCACAACCGAGAACAGCAGAGAAGCAACGCACGCACAGGGAAGCGTCTGTGCAAAATTCCAAAGCTCCAATCTTGAGCCCTAGTGATCCAAAAATCCCGTAAGTAATGCCTAATTCATCTATACATCGTGATTTATCGATTTAGTGCTTTAAAACGAGTTTTTGGTTCAGGAATTTCTTAAATTTCCGATAAGCCAAATTAGGGTTTCGGAGTATCCAGAAGCCGGATTGAGCCCAAATTTCATATACGAGCTTCCTGCAGCGAGGTAATCAATCCTCTAGTTCTAATCCATGAATTTTGGCTGTTATTTAGGTCGGAGCCGGGATCGCTGAATTTAGCTCCGGCCAGGGTTTGATGTGTTTTTATCAAGAATTTGACCCGGAGCCTAGAACTAATATTGATGGGGATACTGCAGGGGATATTAGGACGGTCTCAAATTTTAATTCGGGGTTCGTTCGTGAAATTGACGTTCTAGTACGGGAAGGTTAAACTGGTGTTTGAACGACCAGAACTAGTGAGGGATTAGCACGGCATACCGGGTTTGTCGTATCACGATAATTAAATTGATGCTTAGAATTGATCTAGGTGAACTAGAATGACATGATTAGGGGTGTATGAACATTTGTGCTATGTTCAACCCTGGATTGCTGTATGATATTATTGACTTGCCCTAATCGATATGAACCTTGTTTATGCCGATGATTATGTATATGTTGCAAATTGTGGGCTTGACTATTAATATGCTTTACGATGGTTCGAGAAGGTGATTAGGTATGATTTTTCATGATTGTTGTATTTGGATGCACAAGTGGGAAAATATATATTCCCTGGTGATATTATGATGTTTAAGGAGGATGACTTGCATGAGGGTTTATCCCGAGGAAGTGCAATTATACGACTCCTGATTTACCTATGTTGAGCCAATTATGGCCAGGTCAAGTACATGTGCAAGTAATGAATTATGATTAAGCAAGATGAGATATGAATCATGTATAAGGATACCAAATATGAGTGTTGTGGTCTCACGGTCAACTACATAGTAATTAGGGCTCCCTATGCTATTACTCTATTATGATATGTATGATAGTCACACCTCTCATGTGGTGGTGACTGAAGAATTCTTATGAGATATGACCACACCCAGAGCGGTTTCGAGGTATGACTACACCCATAGTGGTGTGGGGTATGTATGACCACATCCGACGGGATGTTGGGGTATGTATGACTACATCCGACGGGATGTGGGGTATGTTTCCCGGGAGAGTTATTAGCATGGGAGTAGCCAGGCTCCTATAAGTAAAACATGATAAGATGCATATGCATAAGTCAAGGTGGTTGAGTCTTTTGCCTATTGGGATGTTGGAGGGCTGAGATCTGATCCTAGTGCTTTGGCTTGATTGTTAGATGTCTGGTAGGGGTATGCTGGTTATGAACTCACTATGCGATGATTATCTCACTCAGCTATGAGCTGACCCTCTTTTATTCTTCTTCTCTGCTTATGCTATGTGTAAGCAGATCATCAGCAGCAGCAGTAGATAGGTGTATAGGTGGGAGCTGAGCAAGAGTTGAAGGCAAGATGAGGTATGGTCTTCAACCATTCTGTGCTTGGACTACTACTCGGGATTTTGGCCAGTGATCCACACCTTTTTGTAAAAATGTTTTGAGAACGTTTTTCATGTGCATACTAGCTTCTGAGGTAGTGTGAGATATCCACAGGTGTGGGAAGTTAATGATATGTGTATATTTATGTGGTTGTGTAAGTTATGACGATTATGGCTTGTATCAGTATGGTATGCAGTTGTGTAGTATGAAAGTGTGACTATGGCTAAGAAAAGCCAATGCATATGGTTGTGAGTATATATGTTTGTTATGAATTATTGTGCAGGATAAGTTGCAAGAACTGTTGACCCATTACGCGAGTAATTCATGTCGAAATTTTATTTTGGTAAATTTTGATAATTAATGTAACACCCGATATTATTTCAGCTGCAATTGTATGAACAATATGATTAGGCAAAACGTATAGTGTAGGATTTTACAGTTTGGTATCAGAGCCCGGTTCCCACTTTTTGCTGTTATGGCGTACTATACCCTATGGGAGGTTAAACACTCCTAAGGAGGGGAGTACCCCATAATGACTTAAACTGGGAATTGAGTTTGACATGATTATGTGTATTGGTATATTGGATGAAATTACCTGCATCATGGTTTTCAAAATTGAGTTTTGAACTTATTTGTTTTCAAGTAATTATTTTGGGAAATTTATTGTTTTAACCAAGTGAGAGATTTGGTGAAGATTGAATTTTGTGTGGATCAATCTAAGGCCAATATTTCCTTGTAGCTCGCATGGAAGTTGTCATAATGTTCCTACTGACCAGTCGAGAGGAGTGGGGGCGGTTGATGCAAGGCCGCCAGTATTAGACTATGCAAAGATGAAGAGTTTGGGTGGTAGGGACTTTAAAGGAGATGTGAGTCCGGATGCTGTGGTAGAGTGGTTGAGGGAGATGGAAGATGTGTTTGAATATCTTTATGCGACCCGAGAGGAAAAAGTACAATATGTTGTTTTTCTCCTAAAGGGGTATGCGAGGAGCTGGTGGTCCTCAGTCTCTAGAGTTAATGGTGAACGAGTTCAGTTCACCTGAG